GGCTGCAATCCCCTTAGTCGGGATATTTAATGAGCACCTAGGAAGGGCTAAGCACCTTGCAAGATGCTAGGGATTTAAAAGCGGACAGATGGATACATTCCTATTCCTTCCAGAGATGTGAAGCTTAATGAAGCACACAGGCCAATGGGCAATAGTGATTCATTTGGATGAATGATGTAATGAGTGGCTCCCAATTGGGACAATTCTGCCCCCTTTCCCTCCCCCGGGGGACATCTGCAATGTTTAGAGACAGTTCTGGTTGTCAGAACTTGGGGAAGAGGGTGTGGTCCTGGCATCCAGTGGGCAGGGACAGAGATGCAGCTCAATATCTTAAAATTGCCCGGCCGGCTTGGCTCAGTGGTTGAACATTAACCTATGAACCAGGAGGTCATGATTCGATTCCCAGTCAGGGCACACGCCCGGTTGCGGGAACCATCCCCAGTGCGGGGCGTGCAGGAGGCATCTCATCCATGGTTCTCTCTCATCATTGATGTTTCTATCTCTTTCTCCCTCTCCCTTCCTCTCTAAAATCAATAAAAAAAAATATTTTTTAAAAATCTTACAATGTGTAGACACCCTCCAAAACAAAGAATTATGTAGCCCCAAATGTCACCAGTGCCCACGTAGGGAAACCTGCTATAAAGGTACATAGGAGTTACGTCACATCTGGACATGGGAACAGAGGTTTTCTGAAAAATGGAGACGATGTCCAGGGGAGGGAAGGACAATTTGCATGGCAGGTACGAAGACCCCCACTGGCCAGGACACGGCATCATCATCGGGGTATTACAGCCATCACCACCACCATCACCATCACCTACTGAGAAAATGGTTTGTGCCAGAGTTTCTACAAAACAACCTATATAGCCCTGGCCAGTTTGGCTCAGTGGATAAGTGTCGGCCTGAGGACCAAAGGGCCCCGGGTTTGATTCCGGTCAAGGGCACGTACCTCAGTTGCAGCCTCCTCTCCAGCCCGGGGCCTGGTCAGCGCTGGTACAGGAGGCAACCAATCGATGTGTTCCTCTCACATCGATGTTTCTCTCTGTCCTTCCCTCTCTCTTTCACTCTGTCTAAAAGATGAATGGAAAAATATCCTCGGGTGAGGAAAAAAATAACCTACATATGCATTCTAAAATACAGTTCCATTAACAATCCGATGAGTCGGATAGCATTTCCATTTCCAGATGAGGAAACGCTGAGGCACAGAGAATGAAATAACCTGCCCTGAGGCCCGCGGCTGGCCAACAGCGGGGCTGGACGCGGAGCGAGGTCTGGGAACTCTAGGTGACCATCCCCAGCACCAGGCCCTCCCGCCTGCCCAGGGGACGGCGCTGAGCCTGGGGAGGACGGGGTGTGAGAGGGGAGTCACAGGAAGTGGCGCTGGAGGGTGAAGGGAAGCACGTATGACAGACCTCATGCACAGAGAGGGTGGTGGGAGTCCCTGGAGGACAGTCACATGATCGCATCTGCTAAGAAAGACCGCGTCTGGCTGCAGTGGAACCGGGTGGAGAGGGGACAGGCGTTCATAACGCATCACTCCAGAGATCACAAGAAAGGGGCAGCGAGGAGGGAAGTCCAAGAGCCTCAGACACGAAGATCGGTGTGTCGCGGTTGGCTGGAGTCCGGGGTAGGGGGGCTGCCATCCAGGCTTCCCGCAGGGCATGTCCCGGACAAAGCTGCCATTCAGGGGCCAGAACACAGCAGTTGGGGGCACTGAACATGAGCTCAGGCCGGGACTGGAAATTCACACTGAAATGGAGAGGGAAGACGGGCCTGGGACAGCCGATAAAATGCGATGCGAGAAGAGGCTGAGCGGCTAAAGGCAGCAATGAGGACGCTGAGGAGGTCTGACGGACGGGGAGCAGGAGGAGGGCCAGAGAGAGCAGGTTCAGAATCGGGGTTCTCATGGGCGCTTCGGTTCACGTGGGAGTGACAGAGCAGGGGGCACGGGGGCCAGGAGGCCAAAGTGTGGGGGGCCATGCAGGGACCAGGTGTGCATACATTACAACATGGATACTGAAACCTTTAAGGTGATGGGAGGAGAAGGTGGAGATGCTGCAGAATGAATAGCCCTGCCCCTCCAAAGTCCACACGTTCACCCCTCCCCTCCAATGTGATGGTGTTAGGAGGTGGGGCCTTTGGGGGGTGATCAGGTCATGAGGGTGGAGCCCTCGTGAATGGATTATAAAAAGGAAGTCCAGCCCGACCAGAGTGGCTCAGTGGTTGAGCACTGACCTATGAACCAGGAGGTCACAGTTTGATTCCTGGTCAGCACATGCCCAGGTTGCTGGCTCAGTCCCCACTGGGGGAGTGCAGGAGGCAGCCAATCCAATGGATGATTCTCTCTCATCATTGATGTTTCTGTCTCTCTCTCTCCCTCTCCCTTCCTCTCTAAAGTCAATCAAAATATCTATTTTTCAAAAGGACCAGAGAGCCCTAGCTGGTTTGGCTCAGTGGCTAGAGCATCGACTTGGGGACTGAAGGGTCCCAGATTCGATTCCAGTCAAGGGCACATGCCTGGGTTGCAGGCTCAGTCCCCAGCAGGCGGCGTGCAGGAGGCAGCCGATCCATGATTCTCTCTCATCATTGATGTTTCTCTCTCTCTCTCTCTCCTTCTCCCTTCCTCTCTGAAATCAATAAAAATGTATTTTAAAAAATAATAAAATAAAAGGGACCAGAGAGAACACCCTCACCCCTCCCACCACGCGAGGATGCAGGGAGCAGATGTCTGTCTATAACCAGGAAGTGGTTCTCAGCAGACACTGAACCTGCCGTGCCTTCATATGGACTTCTCAGCCTCCACAGCTGCGAGAAATAACGTTTGTTGTGTAAGCACCCAGTCTGCGTTAGTTTTGCTTTAGCCGCCCGGCTGGACAAAGACAGGGGGAAAGGGTCAGATGCTAAAGCTCTTAAAAAGTGTCAAAGATACCAAAACTATTTTAACAGCCCAAGTAATAAAACGGATGCATGTCTTTAAAAAAAAAAAAAGTGTCAAATAGCATCGACTAGAGTGAGAATTGACTTCGATTAAAATTAGGGCAAGGAAACAGCAATGATTTCTATGAGGACTGGGAGCTGAAAGCAGGGGCCAGGGGAAGGCCTGGGGACAGGAGTCAGGAGTGAGGTGAACGCTGATCCCCCATCGTCCCCGGATGAGATGAATGAGAGGCAAAGGGCCTTTGCTGGCGGCTCTGAGGGTCATGATATGATCCAGGGACAACTAGACATCGGTACAAATGAAGGAATAGGAGTGCTGTGTTGGAGGAAACAGTAAAGTATGTTTGGGAGTTTGGTCAGAACTGAGCATACGTTCCGGGGGGCACAGGGGCTCGTAATGAAAACAGTGATGGGCCAGTGGTCTGGGAAGAGGTGGGATGGACTTGATAGAGAGACAAGTGGATACGGCGGTGACTGCAGAGCAGCCCAGTCTCTGAGCAAAACACCGATGCTGCCATAAGGCTTGGACCAATGCTACCCCAGCCCTCTCCGTGGTGATGGAAATGCTCTGTCTGTATCCGCATTGTCTGATACAGTCACCGCAGCTACGTGTGGCCACTGTGTGTAGGGAAATACAGAGCGACTTCAATGGACTGAGGTGTGGCCCCAAACATAGCAATGGCCCAGCAGTAACTCCTATGATTCAAAGCTCCTACGGCACTGCCGGTCACCAAGTGAGAGCTCTTCCTGTCGTCATCATTATCTTTGAACATGCCTGATTTAGTATGTACCGTGGATCCAGTCTCATAGCTAAGATGCTATTATATACCATATGTTATTCTCTGTGGCATATTTGGATATTCTCAAAATTCCCTGTGGACAGCCCTAGCCGGTTTGCCTAAGTGAGTAGAGCCTCAGCCTACAGACTGAAGAGTCCTGGGTTTGATTCTGGTCAAGGGCACAGGCCTGGGTTGTGGGCTTGATCCCCAGTAGGGGGCGTGCAGGAGGCAGCCAATCAATGATTCTCTCTCATCATTGATGTTTCTATCTCTCCCTCTCCCTCCCTCTCTGAAATCAATAAAATATATATATATATATAATAGAGAAATATGCTAATTAACCAGAAGGCTGTAACGGGTTGACCGCACAGGAGGAGGCTGTGTGAGCAGCGTCCGGGGCAGGGTGGCAGGGGCCTCCGCGCACCTGCACTGGGGGAGGACCTGATCAGCAGCAGTTGTGGCTGCTTCAAGGGCCAGAGAGAGAGGCAGGGCTGGACTGACGACTGAAGGGTGGGCGGTGCTGCGTGATTTCGAATCGCGCGTTGGGCTCCTAGTATATATATAAGAAATTCACTGTGTATAGAAAAAAACACATCTGTCTTTAGTTATACATGAGCATGTACTTATGGGTGTCAAGGTTTTCACACCATTAAAAATGATCTATATATATAAAAGCCTAAGCAACAGTTCGACCGTTTAACCGGTAGCTATGATGCGCACTGACCACCAGGGGGCAGATGCTCAATGAACAGGCATGGAAACATGAAACAGACTGATGAATCTCAAAGAGAAGGGGGAGGGGGAACGGGGGAGGGGAGGAAGAGATTGACCAAAGGTCTTATATGCATACTAGAGGCCCGGTGCAAGGATTTGTGCACTGGTTGGGTCCCTTGGCCCAGCTTACAGGGATCAGGCCAAATCCATGCACTGGGCCTCTGACATCCCCCGAGGGGTCCCAGATTGCGAGAGGGCACAGGCCAGGCCAAGGGACCCCACCAGTGCATGAATCCGTGCACCAGGCCTCTAGTCATCAAATAAAGAGGTTGAGCACACGAGCCTCTCAACATCCTTGACCACAAGGTACCATGTTCTCTGAACAGCGATAGAAGAGTATCTTCTATCAAATGGAAATTGGTTTTACTTAGCAAAGTCAACATTAACAGACGGGCATTCATGTTGCGTGTTTAGAAAGAAGAGTTTAGCTGTGGAAGAATAAGGGAAGACATACTCAGCGGGGAAAGGGGGCCATGATGGCCTGCCTGGCTCTGACCCTGCTAGACTTGCCTTGGTTTTCTCAAGGTTGGCCTCCTCCGTCATCTGCACGGCACGCTTCACCTGCTCGTAGGCGCCCGCCTCCCTCTGCTGCACATCCGCCAAGCTGCTCCTCGTGGAAACCAGCGCGGACATGAAGTCATCTCTCTCCCTGTTGGCACAAAAAGGACATTCAAAGCAAGAAAGGTCCGAATGCTCGTGCATTCCTCGGTCAGGAAGAAACAAGCCTGAAGACGCATCAGAAGAGAGCCGGCGGGCAGCCCAGCACACAGCGCAGGCAGAGAAGGGCCCTCTGTCCTCGCTCGCGGGGCTGGCAGGGCAGCGGGGAGGCGGGAGCATGGGGCTGGACGGCATCAGCTGGACAAGGGCCACTGTGGAGATGCTGGCACCCTGAGGGATGCAGATGAAGGCCCAGAAAAGGGGAAATTCATTTAAAAAGGAAAAAAGCAACAAGGTAGAGAAGCTGGGGACTGTACTCCAAAGCAGAGGCAAACATATGAAGAAGGGACAACTAAGGTAGCTTGCACCGCCAGTTCCCTCATCTACTTGAACAAATATATGTCCTTTCCCTTTTCTTAAAATATATTTGTATTGATTTCAGAGAGGAAGGGAGAGGGGGAGAGAGATAGAAACATCAGTGATGAGAGAGAATCATTGATCGGCTGCCTCCTGCAGGCCCCACACCCAGGCATGTGCCCTGACCGGGAATCGAACCGTGACCTCCCAGTTCATAGGCAGACGCTCAACCACTGAGCCCCGCCGGCCGGGGAATGTCTTTTCCTTTTCATCTGCCTCCCAGGCCTCCTTTTCACTCTCCTCTTCCAATTGTATTTTCACCTCCTTATGAACACTTTTCCTCTTTCAATGGGTAAGTACTGTTGAACCCCTCAAATGCCCTGGTCACCCATATAATACTCACGAGGTAACACAATCTCATCCCAGTGGGTCTCATCATTGCCTCGCCCCTCCCCTCCCCCATCTGCAGCAGTTCTCAGAAATGCTCTAAGCCAAGCTCTTTCTCCGGGAGAGAAGTGAAGGGAATGCCAAGTGCCCTGGCATGAGAAACAGCATGGATCCATTCTTACGGGTTAAATAAACCCACATAAAAGGATCCAGGACATTTGGAATCTATCCACTGGATTAAATGGCCAAAGAGAAAGTGAGGTGGGAAACTTTCTATACGCACAGAGTTAAAAAACTGTAAGTTGGAGTGTTGTGTGTCTTGCTAACGAGCTCAAGTTTTAAACTGTGGTTTCAAGTTTAGCTGAAGTCATTGCTTGCAATTCCCTTTTCATTGCCAAGTTCTAAAGGATCAGAAAACAGCCAACTGTGATTTTCTTTTTAATTTAGCAAACTCTGAGTCATGATTTCAAAGATTACAAACTCTGAGTTTGAGCTGCTTTCAGAATGAACCAGTGACTCCATTTAAAAAGATCGCTAACAGATAAAATGATTTAAACTATTTGTGGTATTTGGAAAACAGCCATATTTTAAGAAATATGTAATACTGAACAAAGTTACAATTATTAAGTTTCATAAAAGCTCTTTTTGTTTAAAAAAAAGAATAGATTGATGCAAATACCATAAAATTCATGAGAGCATGGTAACCTTATTTTAGATTTCCTGATGTGTTTAAGTTGAGAAATAAAATTTACTTCAATGTTTTTGTTCTAAAGAAAATGAAAAAAAGTTACTTCGTTTTAGAAACTATAATTAAACACGATGATCATGTGAAAAAGTGGGAGTCAAAGCAAATTATTCTAGTTATGTGATAACTAAATTAAATGCAAGGAAAACTGAATGTATATTTATTTACATTCTTAAATGAGTGCTACCACACACAGGGACTGGCTTCACTGAGAATATGCAATCCAAGGAGAGCCTATCCTTCTAGTACAGTGGTTGTCAACCTTCTGGCCCTTTAAATACAGTTCCTCATGTTGTGACCCAACCATAAAATTATTTTCGCTGCTACTTCATCACTGTAATGTTGCCACTGTTATAAATCGTCATGTAAATATCTGACATGCAGGATGGTCTTAGGCGACCCCTGTGAAAGGGTCGTTCGACCGCCAAAGGGGTCGCGACCCACAGGTTGAGAACCGCTATTCTAGAAGAAGAAAAAGGCCACTCTTCAGGCCAGCAAGTCTCACACCCACTGACAGTCCAGTGACTACTCGCCTGAAACCTGACCTGTTCCTGGCACCATGGCAGCATCAAGGCCCAGGTTCCAAACAGAAAGAATTAACGAGAATCCAGTGTTTGTCTGTATCACAACAGGATCAAAACCTAACAGATTAGCGTCCTGTGCTTAATACATTGAACCTCTCTTCAGTATATCCTCTGCTGAGTGGTTTGCCACACTAGACGCTCAAGGAAATCAACAACAAAAGAACAAATGAATGACTCATGATCTGGCCACAGGAGAGCATGGAGAGGTGACATAAAACTCCCTCCCAGTTCTCCTATTTTATGACCCAAGTTTAACCCTTTGCGGTCATATTAAATTTGGACATGGGTGTCGTACTGGTCGGAATTAATTTCCATTGAAAGAGCAGTGACACATAACATGCAAGATTATGAAGGATAAACAAGATTTATTAATTCTTTTTTGGAACTACGTCACTACTAGTAGAATCACTACAAACGTTATCACTTTCTATGTCAGAGTCAGTATTCAAGGTGCCAAAATAAAACTCTTCATCGTGACTTTCAGATTCGCAGTACACTTCTTTCGGTAACTTTCTTTTTGCCATTTTGGAGTATTATTTTGAAATATCTTAACAAGCGAGAATGCCTAATTACAGTTAAACGGAATTTGCAAAGCTTTATTTGAAATTCTGCGAAGTATCTCCGAAGCTTGTCGATTTCTTCACTCTCAAAAGGCAACTGACTCACCACGGTGTTTCGCATGGCGAGTGTGGAACGACCGCGTTTGTTTATACTGAGTTTCGATATCTCCGATTTGTCGGGGCAATGCTTTGGTTCGTGACAAGGTCGCTTAGACACTTAAGAGCTTTCAGAGAAATGATGAACTGATACATGAATGAATAGAGTTAAGATTCCTACGGTTCCTTGCTGTGGTGGATGAGAGCAGACATACGACCAGAACGGTAAAAAAGCTTTGGTGGCTGAGAGTAGACAAACGACCGCAAAGGGTCAAAAAGTCATCAGACTATTTAGAACTGGAAGATAAATGACTGAGTTGCTCTGGTTCAAAGAATTTTCAGCCCGGCCAGTGTGGCTCAGTGGTTGAGCATCGACCTATGACCCAGGAGGTCAGGGTTCAATTCCCGGTCAGGGCACATGCCTGGGTTGAGGGCCTGATCCCCAGTGCGGGATGTGCAGGAGGCAGCTGATCAATGATTCTCATCATGGACGTTTCTCTCTCTCTCTCCCCCTCTCCCTTCCTCTCTGAAATCAATTAAAAAAAAAAAAGAGGATGCGGGAAGGAGCATGGGGGTCAGTTCTGGGCCCAGTTAATGGACTGAGCAAGCCCATGGGCCAGATGTTTGAAATAAGGAGCAGAGAGACTGGGTCTGACATATACGTATAGATATATAAGAGCTTCATCCTCAAGGACGGAGTGCCTGGGAAATGCCTTTAAGGCCCAGCCAAGTTAGCCCACAGGCATTGCCAGTTTGGAGCATTATAAAGCATCATTAACAAGTATTCTCGCTGCTTTTAGAAAGCAAGTCGGGAAGGCTGACTTCAACATTTCCTTGTTCCTCATTTCTGGGAAGCCCCTGCCATGGTCTTTCAAAGCCAAGTTTACAGAGCACTGCCGACGACCCGCCCCCAAATCACGAGCTGGACAAGAGTCCCGGATAGCACAACAGTAATCACTTCTCTCTGAGCAGCGACACTTCTCCAAGGCGCAGGAGCAGCAGCAAGAAATTTAATAGCAGCAGCTCCATCTTGATGGAAGACGTATTTTGATGGTAGAGCAAGAAAAAGAGATTATTGTCGCTCTGACCTACCTTGTGGCATAATGAAAGGCAGGAGCTCAGGAACACCAGGACTTCAAGTCAACGTTTCAAATCAGTCCAGTGTTATCAGCAGCTAAGTACACTCTCCAGAAAGTCCCTACAGCCCTCAAAACACCACAAACACATGGGTGGTCTGGTCTCCTTTTCAAGCGCCCACGTCATTCCTGTGTCATGCAGTCACTTCACTACATGCTTAAAAGATCAACCAAGCAGCTTAGAGCTGCTGTCCCTAGACAGTGGCCAGGAGACTCCTGATCTGTCCTGGGTGGGATATGGTTTTGCAAATGTCACGTTCAAGTCATGCAGGAAATACAGCTCCTGGAGAGGTCATGCTTCTTGTTCTGCAAAAAGAGAGAACTCCACCCCACCAAGAGCTGGCAACTCTTCAAAGTCAGAAAAAACTCAAAATTCTCAAGAAGAAGTGAAAGAAGCTGAACACCAGCTGAGGCCAGGGGGTCGGATAGACAAAGATTTTTATTGACAGCACAAGCAGAGGCTTCCACTGGGTCCTGTTATTAAAGTGGAACATGAGCCACGACATGCTGACAAAGCAGAAAACTGAACTGAGAAGGTTGGCATTTATTTTAGGAGGCGAAGCGCTGAAATGTAAGAACAGAGACAAGGGACTATATGACCGAGCGAGAAGAGAATCGAATTCCTAAGTGACTGCCAGGCTTGGAATCAATGTAAACATTGTTGCTTCCTTTTAAAATAGTTTTCTCATGATCTTCAAGGACAATGTAAAAGGCAATATAATAGAGGAAAAACCCATGGGTTTTTGTTGGTGGTGGTGGTTGGTGGGTTTTGCTATTTAGTGGGTTCCGCCTCTTTTTAATTTTTTTGTGTTAATCTTTACCTGAGGATATTTTTTCCATTGATTTTTAGAGAGTAAAAATCTAAAGGGAAGGGGAGAGACACAAAGAGAGAAACATCGATGTGAGAGAGCCACTTTGACCGCCCCCTCCTGCACACCCCACACTGGGGATCGAGCCTACAACCCGGGCATGTGCCCTTGACTGGAATCGAACCTGGAACCCTTCAGTCTGCAGCCTGACGCTCTATCCACTGAGCCAAACCAGCTAGGGCAGCAATTGCTATTCTTTATTTACTTTGCAACTGGGCAATTTGTCCTTTTTGTTAGTTTCAAAGGAAATTATTTATATAATCATACCAATATTTTGTTATATTAGATGAAAATATTCTTTCCAAGTCTTTTCACTTAATTTGTAATATTGTATCAAAAGAAAGTTTTTTTGAATGAAGACAAATGTACCCTTTTTTCCCTTCATGACTTTCATTCTTCATGTCATACTGAGAACTTCAAGTTGCCCAAGACTATAAAGATACTTTCTTAATTTTCTTCTAATACTTCCATGGTCAGAATTAATACTTCCAAGGACATCTGGTCTAATTAGCATATTATGCTTTTATTATTATAGATAATAACGCTCAACTTCCAAGGAATAAAATGTTCACAGGAAAAGTAGTGACAACAGAACAAAAGGAGATGCAGGCAGAGAGCTGCAGGGTTTCAGCCCAGATAGAAATGCGATTGCACAAAAGCTCACTGCAACTTGCCCTTAGTCCGTCCTGGAATATTAATCAATAGTGGGACGTAGTGGGACCTTCTTCCAATGCACTCAGGACACTTTTCACAACGGGCACGTGATGAAGGCAGGATAATAACTCACTCCACCTAAGCTACAGCAGGCAAATCCAACATAGGGCGGCAATGAAGAATTCCTCAAACTCAGCTTTGTCCAGAGTAGTGCTGGATTTGCAATTACAGAGCCATGGACATGAACAGAATTGTAAAACCATCTACTTCAATTTCCTCACTTCAAAATGAGATTGAAACCTAGAGAGAGAAAATGACTTGTCCATGTTACCCCCAGTTGGCAGAACGCATTTATTCTGTTTTCAAGAAAGCTCCATGAAGGAATCTTTTCTTCTTATTATTTATTTTAAATGTTTTTACTGATTTTTGAGAGAGCTAGGGAGGGAGAGGAAGAGAGAAACATCAATGAGAGAGAAACATCAACATCCATCAGCTGCCTCTTGTGGGCACGCGCGCATGCACACACACACACACACACACACACACACACACACACACACACCCATCCTGCTGGAGATTGAGCCCTCAACCCAGGCATGTGCCCTGACCGGGACTCGAACCAGCGACCTCTCAGTGCATGGGACATCCAACCACTGAGCCCCACCAGCCCGGGCTGAAGGACCCTTTTAAAACCCGGTTGACCTGAAGCTTCGCAGGAACCTCAGGTTAGGGATTTAGCGCGGGATAGAGGAATCGATGCCCCTGGGGAGACAACGCTCGTGTTACCGAAGACTCCGCAGGGGGAGGCACACTTACTTCGTCAGCCGCTCGATGGTCTGCATGTGGACGTGACTATGTGTCTGAGAAAGAACAGCTTCATGCTGGGCACACTTCACACAAAGACCACCGACGCGGGTGGAAACCTGGGCAGCAAGAACAGACTCTTTGTGCTTTAGTCGCCCTTTAAGATCTTCACAGTTTTTCTGACATTCGGCTAAGTCTTTCCTAAAAAGAAGGGGAGGAGAATTCAGTAAATGGCTAAAGTACTTGCCAAGGCATCAGCAGAGTCGTAACTATTACTGTTATTTATGGGTGTGAACCTTTTGAGGTGCTTTGCATATGAATTCTAACCACAACCCTGGATTCGAGGTGTGCTTACCCTAATTGGCACTCTGAATAAAATGAGACTTGAATATATTAAATAATTAGGCCAAGTTCTTGTAAAATTAGTCTGAGGGTGATATTGACTCTCCTTTCTCAGGATCCCACTCGATTACATTATATGACCCACAAAACAAACGTAAAACTACAAATGCAAATTCTAACTAGTGTCATCTAATAGGAGGGTGGGGTGACTTAACACAACATCCTTGAATTGAGGGAAATACCCCATTTCAAGTGTTAACCTCTTAAACTTGATGGAGAGTTCTTTACAGGATCACATAAAGGACACGGGTCCTATCACTGCCCATGTTTCTGCACATTGAAAAGTTTTCTAACCACAAAGTTCCACAAAGAGCAGGTGTGAGAGACAGAGGGCTATGGGAGGAAGGTATGTGGAACCTGCCAGGCTTAAGACTTCATAAGTAGCAGGCATTGGCTGGAAATAGGCAGCTCGCTAAATGGGGGGGTGGGGGGGGGGTGGCGGGGGGGAGGGGCTAAGAAATCGGGGGCTATTTGTTTTGACCTGATGGGATTATCCTTGGATGATGTTTTTCTCCTAGTTTTGCAAAGTCACCTTGGGCAACTGAGCTTCCTGGCATAAACGTCTCTTCCCTATTGTGTAAAAAAACTTCCTAGCTCAAGAAGGAGAAAGTTACCCTTAAGTTCTTAGGGGACTAAACATAGGCACTTTATCTCTGCCTTTGTCTACTTTATTTTAAAAAAAAAAAATGTATTTTTATTGATTTCAGAGAAGAGAGAGAGAGAAAGATAGAAATATCAATGATAAGAGAGAATCATTGACGGCTGCCTCCTGCACGCCCCACACTGGGGATAGAGCCCGCAACCCGGGCATGTGCCTTGATCTGGGAATTGAACCATGACCTCCTGGTTCATAGGACAACGCTCAACCACTGAGCCACACAGGCTGGGCTGGCTTAGTCTACTTTCTGTTGCCAGTTTGTATTATATTCAGGGACCTATAGCTGTCCCAACTTGCTCACTGTCACAGAGGAGAAGCCGATAATTAAGACACCTGGCCATCACACTGCCTCACCTCTCGGGACCTGGGGCTTTCGGGCAGCCTGGTGTGTGTGTGGGGGGGGGGGGGGAGCCACAGGCAATCTGAGATCAGAAAAGCTAATCTCATGATGTCTGAAATAAAAAATAAATGGTGCTGGTCTTGCCCAATCCGAAGATAATATCTCCGACATAAGCTCCCTGTTATGAAGGGAAAGTCTGACTTTCAGAGGCTTTAGGAAAGGGTCTCTGGAAGCACATCTGGAAGTACGAGGGCCTCCCTGACTGTCTTGACAGGTGCAAGTTCAAAAACTCAAGTGGTTCTGGTTACGCAGAACGGCCAGGAATAAATGTAAAAATAAACAGTTCCAATAAAGCCAGAGTTTCTGAGAGTAGCGATTTTCTTTCTTTCTTTAAGAAAATGCCTCTATTAATATCTTAAATATTATTCAAAGAAAATAAATTTAAAAAGGAACACAGAAGGATTCAGGGAGCAAAGTCTAGTTCAGTGTAAGGTGGTGTTCTAATGTAATTAAAGATGCCATATTTGAATTCTGGATGAGACCAAATAAATCACATTGCCATAAATATAATGAGTTAGAAATGAAACTTTAAAAACTAAAGAATCAAAACACAATATATATCCAAAGATAACAAAGATGAAAAGCAAGAAAACAAAAATGTGACCATTTCTTAAACATTAAATTTCTTCAAGAAAAAGTAAAAATCTCTGCAGAAATAATGAATAAGGATAAGGAATTGCAAGCATTGGAGCATGTTACCATAAGTGAACAAGTCCGGCCGATGTGGCTCAGTGGTTGAGCGTCAACCCAGGAACCAGGAGATCACAGTTTGATTCCCAGTCGGGTCACATGCCCGGGTTGCAAGCTCTGTCTCCAGTGTGGGGCGTGCAGGAAGCAGCCGATTAATGATTCTCATCATTGATGTTTCTATCTGTCTCTCCCTCTCCCTTCCTTTCTGAAATCAATAAAAAAATTTTTTTTTAAAAAGGTAAGTGAACAATAACAGTGCAGGGAAAGCTGTGTGTTCTAGTTCTTAGTATAACTCTAGTTATGTATCTAGGCAATAGGTGGACTGGAGATTTTAAATTTTATTTCAAATTCGACTATTAAAATAAGTTCATCATTAACAGTATTTCAATAAATAAAATAAAATTATTAAAGTATTTTAAAGTTCCTTTGATTTGAAAATATTTCATTACTATCATTTAAAATAATATTTAACACAAAAAAAAGAATTCCTGGTATCTTTTTGCATAAGAAACAACTTTCTAGCTCGAAACAGAGAATGATGCACTTAAATTCTTAGATAATGAATATCTAACAAATCAATAATGATTAATCTATAATATATAGGCTTCATTGGGATTTTTGAAAACATATCAAAAAGTACTAGTACATGAAAACTCATTATGTATACACAAATTCACCATGTATACAAAAATACTCAAACTATTACAGTATTGTTGCAATTTTAAAATTAAATGAAGAAAAGTAGATAATGGAAAAATCTCTTACATGTACTTTGACAACTGGAGTGCTTTAGTTTTACTATTTTGAAAGCTTAATTTCTGAAGAGCAGCTAGTGATTCTTATTTCTAGCAGAAAACCCAAATATTTTACAACTGATGAAAGAACAAAACTTATAATTTAGTTCCCAGTGATTTGAAATAACATTTGAAAAAAGGACTTTACTGTTTTATTCCCCGTTACCCTTTAACAATGTGAGAAAATGCCTTGTATCGCAAGCAAAATGGCGCCAAGCACTTCTAATAGTGACTACACTGGGATTTCAGCAAACACTCCAATATATCTCAAGTTCTTTATGCTTTTGCTAGATCTTTCTATGGATGATGATACTTTACCTCAAAACCCTCAATTGAGATTCCAGGATTTCACACTTTTGCTCATAAGTAAGTTTCAGCCTCTCCTTTAGAAAAGAAAAGAAAAGAAAAAGTACATTTCTTCTGTATCCTGTGTTCTGTAAGCAAATGTTGATTATTAATATTAAGCTCAATATTGTTCTGCAGGAGGAAAAATAATGTGCCTTCTTTGGAAACACTTTCCCCATCCCACCAAAAATTCCTGTATTTATTGGATGGACACCTGCACAGAACTACTGAGTCATAAAATGGTAATTACTGACAAAACAGTTTTTTTCAAAGTTGCATAAATCGGGTCTTTCTTTAAAAAGTGTGACGCTGGGCCTGGCCGGCGTGGCTCAGTGGATAGAGCGTCGGCCTGCGGACTGAAGAGTCCCAGGTTCGATTCCGGTCAAGGGCATGTACCTTGGTTGCAGGCACATCCCTAGTAGGGGGTGTGCAGGAGGCAGCTGATCGATGTTTCTCTCTCATCGATGTTTCTAACTCTCTATCCCTCTCCCTTCCTTTCTGTAAAAAATCAATAAAATATATTTTTTTAAAGAAAAGTGTGATGCTGGGCCCGGCCACCGTGACTCAGTGGTTGAGCATTGACCTATGAACTGGGAGATTACTGTTCGATTCCCGGTCAGGGCACATGCCTGGGTTGTGGGCTTGCTCCCCACGTGGGGCGTACAGGAGGCAGCCAATCAATGACTCTCTCTCATCATTGTTTCTATCTCACTCTCTCTCTCCCTTTCTCTCTGAAATCAATAAAAATACATATATTTTTTTAAAAGTGTGATGCTCATAAAAAAATAAAAATAAAAAGTGTGATGCTGGGAAAAACAAATTATATCCAACAAGATCAATGAGGACAAAGATCCAATCCTACTGGAACCCCCTATGGGATTGCTATGTATGTCACATACAATAAATATGCACAGACTAGATATGTGGGCATGACATACAACTGGATCGATGATGAAGGGCAGTTGTGAATCACATGATGATCGATCAAACTCTACAAGCCCCTGCTTATTCTTTCATTCAACAAATACATATTGGGTATCTACGATGAAGACCCCGCTAACTTCAAGGAACTTAGAGTCTAGGAAGGAACAGAAAGACAGAGGAACATTCAATTATATATAATTTTTGCTAGCAAGGCAGACAGAAGGTAAAATTACTGGAATCTGTAATTGAACCAAAGAGAAGCAGAGGAAACTTCATGACATAGAAGCCTCATTTCCTATAAAGCAAAAGGCACAGGGGCTGGAGATGTAATAGGTGGGAGAGTGGGTAGAGACGGCTAAACCGGTAGGTTAGGCCGCGGAAAATATAAAAACAGTAAGACCTTTATCTAGACAGCTCACACAGTCTCCACATAGTAGAGGCACTGGGTGGACACTGAAAACTCCTGATCAGATTTGAATCTTAAATCACTCAAGTGTGGGAAAAGGGAGACCAATAAAAAAGTCATGGCAAATACATCGGTAAGAGGTACACATGTGAGCAAGCAAAATCAAGCAGTAAAGATAAAAAAAGAATTTGCCTTAGCCAGTGCTGCTCAGTGGATAGAGCATTGGCCTGCGGACCAAAGGGTCCCGGGTTCGATTCTGATCAAGGGTACGTACTCGGTTGCAGGCTCCTCTCTAGCCCGGGCCCTGGTCAGGGCTCGTGCAGGAGGTAACCATGTGTTTTTCTCACATCAATGGTTTCTCTGTCTTTCCCTCTCTCTTCCACTCTCCCTAAAAATCATTGAAAAAAATCCTCTGGTGAGGATTAACAAAAGAAAACAAAAAACCCAAAAAACAAAAAGAAAGAATTTAGTATAGAGCTGTATAAAAGAAAAATTGACAGAATTTTATCATTGAATAGATATGGGAAGAAAAAGTCATTAAATATAATCCTGGGTTTAGCCCAGCCGGGGTGGCTTAGTGGTTGAGTACTGTCTCATGCACCAAGAGGTGGCTGGTTCAATTCCCAGTCAGGGCATATGCCCAGGTTGTGGGGCTCCATCCCTCATAGGGGGCATGCAGGAAGCAGCCAATCAATGTTCTCTCTCATCAATGTTTCTATCTCTCTCTCCCTCTCCCTTCCTCTCTCTCTAAAAAAAAAAAAATCAATAAAAATATGTTTAAAACAATAATCCTGGGTGTAGACTGAAGAATAAAATAGAACCAGAGGCATGGAAACATTGAACAGATGATGAATCTCAGAGGGAAGGGGGGAGGGGGACAGGAAGACATAACCAAAGATCTTACATGCACATATGCACTGCCCACGAACACAGACAATAGGGCAGTGAAGGACTAGAGCAGGATAGGAACTGGGTGGTGGGGGCAAGGGAAAAAGGGGGGACATCTGTAATACTCTCAACAATAAAGATTTAAAAAATATGTAAAAGAAGCCAAATAGCAAGATAGTGAATTTAAACCCAGGTGTATAAATAATCACATTTAAAAGGCAAATATAGTTAGATTGTATAAAAAAGCAAAATTCTGCTCTAGGTTCGCCACAAGAAATATTAAATATAAAGACACAGATATGTTAAAAGTGAAAGGACAGCAAAAATACACTATGCTAGCCCTAACCGGTTTGGCTCAGTGGATAGATCGTCGGCCTGCGGACTGAAGGGTCCCAGGTTCGATTCTGGTCAAGGGCATGGACCTTGGTTGCGGGCACATCCCCAGTAGGAGGTGTGCAGGAGGTGTGCAAGGAGGCAGCTGATCGATGTTTCTCTCTCATCGATGTTTCTAACTCTCTATCCCTCTTCCTTCCTCTCTGTGAAAAATCAATAAAATATATTAAAAAATAATTTTAAAAAAATACACTATGCTAACACTAATCAAAAGAAAGTGGGGTCAGTCAAAATACAAAAATAAAAGTGTGTGCTTTACACCAGCAATGAGAACCTAGAAAAAGAGGGAAGCAAAACAGGGGGGAGGGAAGAGGAGGAAGGGGAGGGAGGGAGAGGGAAAAGGAAGGGACGGGAGAGGGAGGGGAGGGAGGGGAAAAGGAAGAAAACTATCAAGGGAGTTAGAAGGCAAGCCACAGAGCGGAAAATATAACAGATATAACCAACAAAGGGCTTGCATCCAGAATATATAAAGAAGTTCAAAACACAATGTCAGGTGACTCAAAATAGGGAGGAGAATATTTGAACAAGCACCTCACAAAAGAGGTCGTCTAATGACTAATAAACATATCAAAGATATTCAATCACAGGAGTAATGAGAGAAATGCAAATAAAATAATGATAGGATAGCACTACAAGCCCACTGAAAAACAGACAATATAATGTTTTGGCACAAATCTGAGCAGCGGTATCACTCATAGGTGCTGGTAGAAGTCTAACCTGATAAAAACCGCCTTGGAAAAGTTTGCCCTAATCTCAACTTGAACATACATATACATACACATACATATACATACATATATACCCTAAGACCAACAGTTCCACCTCAAGGTACATTCCCAACATAAATGTATGCAACGCATACCATAGACATATATTCATAGCAGCAATTTTCACAATAGCCCCAAACTGGAACAATATAAATATCCATCAATAGTTGAATGGGTGAATGCACTGTAGTATATTCATACAGTAGACCCCCCCAATGCAAATGAACAAACTTCCACACATTCAACTTGCATGACCCTAACAAACATAATGTTGAATAAAATAAGCCAAACACAAAAAAATTATATACTGTTTGACCCCATTTACATAATGTTTAAAAAAAACAAGCAAAAATCAACTGGAATGGTTAAGGATTGTGTTTAGGCAATTCTCATTAAAATCAAGATACAGTGGGGCCTTGACTTACGAGTGTCCCGACTAACAAGTTTTTCGAGATATGAGCTGTCTCTCGGCCGATTTTTTTGCTTTGAGTTATGAGCTAAAATCCAGGTTACGAGCCAGCTTCAGATACCCCACCGCTAGTTGGCGCAGCGAACGTCACAGTGAACGCCACCACATCAGCCCAGCATCACGTGTCTCACTCGTTCACTTCTTGATTTGACATACGAGTAATCTGAGTTACGAGCTCCGTCACAGAACGAATTAAACTCGTAAGTCAAGGCCCCGCTGTACTGATTAGCTTTAGGGGAGTGAGAGATGATGACAAAGTTCTAAAAATAGTGTCAATGGTTGCACACACTGTGAATGTACTTCATGCAAATGAGTTGTACGGTTAAAATGGTAAATATTAAAAGTATTAAAATGCTAAATTTTCAGTTTTGCATATTTACCCTAATAAAAAGCTACAAAAAAAGTAGATGCATAAACAGAAAAGCACGCAAATACTCACCAGTTCTAGCTTCCATTTCTCAGCCTCACCAGCAGATGAGGTCTTCATAATGTTTGCATCACCGTGGGAAAATTTCTTAACAGCTTCCTGAACCTCAGAATCTTCACCTCTTGTAATCCAAGAATTCTGCGTGTTTCCCTAAAATAAAATGTGCCAGTAATTGCAATCAATGACATTGCCCTTTACATCAACAGGCATGCTTTACAAATGGAATACTAATTCTTTTTTTGTTAATCCTCACTTGAGGATTTTTTCCACTGATTTTTAGGGAGAGAGGAAGAGAGAAGGAAAGGCAGAGAGAAACATGGATGTGAGAGAAACACATCGATTGGCTGCCTCCTGCCTGAGCCCTGTCCAGGGCCCTGGCCGGGGAGGAGCCTGCAACCAAGGTACATGCCCTTGACCAGAATTGAACCCGGGACCCTTTGGTCTGCAGGCCGTCACTCTATCCGCTGAGCCAAACCAGCTAGGGCAGAATACTGATTCTTATCTGTGATGAAAGAATTTAAAAAGCAGATGCTTCTCAACTACAAATCAATAATCATGTTATATCTTCAGGGTTATATTCCATAAGCACTCCAAAATCAAGTTCCTACAGGTACAGGCAGTCATGTATATGAACAGAGAGGGTTGGGTGTCACAGACAACAGATTGATTTACTCTTAAAACACACAGCCCTCTCTTACTTTGCCTTTCACTTTCCACGTTACACACAGGCGTGACTAACAACAGTTGTTAGATCATATGGTGTTTACTAGGTGCCTGACAATGGTTATGAGCTTCACATATAGTAAGTCGTTTCATCATTACAACAATCCTACAAGTTTCATTATTATTTCCGTCTTACAGATGAGGAAACTGAGTCACAGAGAGTAACTTTCTAAGACTTCCAGAGGCAGGAAGTTAGCTAATATGTGGCATAGCTAGGATCCGAACCCTGGCCATCTGGCTCTAGATCCATGCCCTAAACCACTACGCAAAAACCACAAATATTTACCTTCAGTAAGTAAAACATGCATGGTGACAAACAGAACCGACATGTAGCCTGCATGGCTGGCATACCAAGGAGTGGCAGGGACCACGACAAGCCCTCCAAATGAAGCAGCCACCACCAGTTCCAGCCCTTTGATACCATGTGTGAATGCAAACTCATATTTCAAAAAGAAAATCTGGTAATTTAAAAAAAAGAAGCCAGCCCAGCCGGTATTGCTCAGCGGTTGAGTGTCAACCTGTGAACCAGGAGGTCACAGTTCCATTCCTGGTCAGGGCACATGCCCAGATTGCGGGCTCGATCCCCAGAGTGGGGCCTGCAGGAGGCAACCGATCCATGATGTTCTCTCTCATCATTGATATTTCCATCCCTCTCTCTTTCTCTCTAAAATCAATAAAAATATATTTTTAAAAATAATCCAATTACCTGGCTTTTCATTTGAAACATTGTTAAATATTGGCTCAAGGTTAATCAAAGAAACAAAACAGGTCCACTTGTCAATCTCCACCTCCAGGCCCCTCTCACATTCAGGGACATCAGCAGCCCCCAGACCTGCGTAATTTAATGTGTGCAACCAGGACTGAAATACTTACAGTATTAACAAATAATAACTGACCTCCTGCCAGGGGCCAGAGAATACGGTAGTGCCCACCAGACAGGAGAGGTCCCCCACAGAACCATGCTGCCGTGTCAGATCAGGCTAGAATGTGGTGAACGGCATTCCCACAAAGTAGAATTCTGACATTGTGTTCCATATTCTCCTGGAAGGGCAGATTCATGCAGACATTTCCGTGAACGCCTACTATGTCCAGACACTCTGCGAAGAGCTCAGATGGTTTGGTCGATATTGAAAAGCTATTCCTACTTTCTGCAGACAGGCGGAATACTTCCAGGCCAGGCGGACGGAATTGGGCTCATGTTTGAGTCCTAGTTTTGCTGTGTTTTAGCTTTGTGACATTAGACAAGTTACTTTGTTACTTAACCACTGTGCACCTTAGTGGACTCATCTGAAAATAGACATAATAACAGTGCCTGGCTGGCTAATGTAAAGCTAAAACAATATAACGTAAATAAAGTGCTTGATATAGTACCTGGACCATCAGAACCATGCAGTCATCAATAAATATTAATTATTGCTACATAACTATTTAAATTATTCTTCAAAAGAAGGCCTTAAGAACCACTGAAAAATCTCTATTCAAAACCACAACCAAGGACTTTGGCAAGATCTACCATCTACATGGCAATAGACTCATTAAAAAGAGCTCAGAGGAAAAAAGAAAGATACTATCTTTTGATCTGTTTATATTTAAGATACTCTAAAAAGCTTCCTTTATATTACAACATATTTTTCTTTCTTTTTTCTTCTTTTAAATATATTTTTATTGTTTCAGAGAGGAAGGGAGAAGGAGTAAGAGATAGAAACAGTAATGATAAGAGAGAATTATTGATCGGCTGCCTCCTGTACACCCCTTACTGGGGATCAAGCCCGCAACCCGGTCATGTGCCCTGACCAGGAATGGAACCCTGATCTCCTGGTTCCTAGGTTGATGCTCAACCACTGAGCCGCCCTGGCTGGGTGACATATGCTTCTTAATACAGCAGCATGCATAGGTTGCTGAAATGCCTCAATTCACCTACACAAGTAAAAAGTGGGGGTGACAATACTGGGACAACAAAATGACTCAGATGACTAACATTAAATAGATCTCCAGGTCACCTGGCACATCTGCAACTATGGCTGCAACATCTGCATTGCATGTTAGCTCATGGAATGTGCAGAAAAAGCAAACCCTCTCCAGGAGTTTGTTCTCTCGCTCACTGGGCTGGAGTTTTCTTCAGCAAGCCTCCTTTGCTCATACGGCCAAGCACATGTGCTTCACCATCATTTCCTTCCCCTCTGCGTTACTCATTTCTCTTGCCCTCTGATTCACTTGTCTGCCCAAGTTCCTTTCTCCCTTCACTTCCCCTTCTCCCACTTCTTGGCCACTATATAAATACTGAAAACGATGAATAATGGAGTCACTGTTTGCCAACGGTCTACACATTTGGAAGAAAAGCAAAAGAATATGTAGATACCTGTTGAATATGCATATATTTCAATGAGCCACTTCTCAGTACTTTTTGTATGGCTGTCATCTTCAAATTGATATTAAAATAATAAGCAACTGCCTGGCCAGTGTGGCTCAGTGGTTGAGCATCAACCTGTGAACCTGGAGGATAGGGTTTGATTCCTAGTCATAGCACATGCCTGGGTTTGCAGGCTCCATCCCCAGTGTGGGGCTTGCAGGAGGCAGACCATCAGTGATTCTCTCTCATCATTGATGTTTCTATCTTTCTCTCTCCCTCTCCCTTCCGCTCTGAGATCAATAAAAATATATTTTAAAAAATAAAATAATAAGCAACTAAGATGGAATTTGAACTACTTATATTAACAGTACAATTATATAATTATTTAGAAAAAGACATACAATGAGAGAAAATTGCTGCTCATAAACTGAAATGCAATTGCAGAAAAATCAGCTCACTTCATTATTCAAAGTCAACACAATCAGCTACTTCTAAATAGCAAATTCTAACACACAGAAGTCAAGGATTATAAATGAAACCTCAGACCAGGGAAATACAATTATAAAAAAACCAACAAGAGCTAGAGGGCACCGAGGTAAAACACTAAGACATGTGTTTTCTTAACAGAATGAATTTACTAAAGACAATTATATCAAAACCACCAAAAGCCCTTGCAAAGTAAAGCTCAACAGCCAAATGTCAAAACTTCCCCATGGAAAGCTGAATTTGTCGCAAAAAGCAGAACAGGCTTTGATGAACCGCATCCCAGCGCAAGACTGGGGAACAGTTTCAAGGCGCAAGTATCTCTGTGACAAGTCATAAGGAGATTCTAAGTTTAAACACTATTTAAATATCATTCTAAGAATTACAGAGATCATTTACTCCTCTGTTGTTCAAAATGTGGTCCTCTGAAATTAGAAGCCCTTCGGCAACTTGTTAGAATTTCCTATCTTTAACTCAAAGACTCAACCTGTCAAAATTCCACACAGGGCCGAAACCGGTTTGGCTCAGTGGATAGAGCGTCGGCCTGCGGACTGAAAGGTCCCAGGTTCGATTCCGGTCAAGGGCATGTACCTGGGTTGCGGGCATGTCCCCAGTAGGAGATGTGCAGGAGGCAGCTGATCGATGTTTCTCTCTCATCGATGTTTCTAACTCTCTATCTCTCTCCCTTCCTCTCTGTAAAAAATCAATAAAATATATTTAAAAAAAAAAAAAATTCCACACAGGGGTCCTCAAACTTTTTAAACAGGGGACCAGTTCACTGTCCCTCAGACCGTTGGAGGGCCGGACTATAGTTTAAAAAAAAACTATGAACAAATTCCTATGCACGCTGCACATATCTTATTTTGAAGTAAAAAAACAAAACGGGAACAAATACAATATTTGTATTTGCATGTGGCCCGCGGGCCATAGTTTGAGGACCCCTGACTTAGAGACTCAACCCAGACCAAACGAATCAGACTCTCAGGGGATAGAACTCAGGGGATGGACTACACCAGTGGTTGGCAAACTGCGGCTCGCGAGCCACATGCGGCTCTTTGGCCCCTTGAGTGTGGCTCTTCCATAAAATACCGACTTCTGGCCCTAACCGGTTTGGCTCAGTGGATAGAGCATCGGCCTGCGGACTGAAGGGTCCCAGGTTCGATTCCGGTCAAGGGCATGTACCTTGGCTGCAGGCACATCCCCATTGGGGAGTGTGCAGGAGGCAGCTGATCGATGTTTCTCGCTCATCGATGCTTCTAACTCTCTATCGCTCTCCCTTCCTCTCTGTAAAAAAATCAATAAAATATATTTTAAAAAAATACCGACTTCTGCGCATGGGCCACGAAGTTTCAATCCCACTGTATGTGCACGCCTGCACGTGGTATTTTGTGGAAGAGCTACACTCAAGGGGCCAAAGAGCCGCATGTGGCTCTCGAGCCGCAGTTTGCCGACTACTGGTCTACACCATCCAAAAGCAAGCAAAGTGATTGTTTTTCACAGTCAAGACCAAGAACTGCTAATATAGGTGATCCTTCTCAAAATGCCAATAAACAAGAGGACCCATGAGGTTAAAGCAGCCGTGGGCAAACTACGGCCCGCGGGCCGGATCCGGCCCGTTTGAAATGAATAAAACTAAAAAAAAAAAAAAAAAAAAAAAAAAAGACCGTACCCTTTTATGTAATGATGTTTACTCTGAATTTATATTAGTTCACACAAACACTCCATCCATGCTTTTGTTCCGGCCCTCCGGTCCAGTTTAAGAACCCATTGTGGCCCTCGAGCCAAAAAGTTTGCCCACCCCTGGGTTAAAGCCATATTTGAAAGTTCTTTAAAATTACAGCATTTGCAGCCTGGTGGGCATGGCTCAGTGGTTGAGTGCCGGCCTGTAAACCAGGAGGTGAAGGTTCAATTCTTAGGCAGGGCACATGCCTGGGTTGCAGCCTCGATCCCCAGTAGGGGTCATGCAGGCAGCAGCCAATCATGGTATGATTCGCTCTCATCATTGATGTTTCTATCTCTCTCCCCATCTCCCTTCCTCTCTGAAATCAATAAAAATATATATTTTTTAAAAATACAGCATTTGCTAAGCACCTAGTTTACTGGAGACGAGGGGAAGATGAGCAGTTTGATTCTTGGACCTTCAGGCCAGTGTTCTTTCTGCCTCACTGGGCTGCTAACTAGACTCAGTGGGAATTCAGAGCTCAAGGAAAACTTAGAGAAATATAACAGAGATCGAAGTGACAGTCCTGAACAGTTTCTGGACTCAACAGGGACCTTCCCCTATGACACACTTCCTGCTTCCAGGCCTGCTCTTTCCACATGGAAAAAACATGAATGGAATGAATGCTCAGAGAGGAAACCGGAGTGGAGTGTAGGCATCGCTACATCATTTCATTTGCGCATTCATCCCACACCAGGGACTTTGAATGTCTGAGGCCCCAAGCGAATGTAAGCAGAGCCCTTTTGCCGAACTTCAAGGAGAAAACTGAACCAGTTCCGAAGGCCGGGGAGGAAATGGGAGGGAACACTCAAACTAAAATACAATTGTGGTTTTTAAAAATGCTCACAGATGCATCCAGAAGAGTTTGCTCCCTCATCGCTTCCTCTGGCCTTCGAGCTTTCAACTCTTGTTGGAGCCGTTCATTGTCAAGCACAATGACCTGTATCCTATTTTTCATTCCAGAGAGTTCCTCCTGTGGAAAAGCAGAAACAGGCATCAAACACATGAAGCGTTTTTATTTGTTGATTACGAGACAATCCAACATGGTATGAATAAAGCATGGAAGACTTATGCTCTCTCCATTTTCTGAAGTACTATAATTATATTTATACAAACAAATGTTAATGAACAAACAAAGAGAAGGCTGGAGGTATGTGGTAGAGGGCCTGCTAGTGGCCTTTTCATAGAAGTGTGTGGTCTCTGACAATTTTTTTCTGCAAGGGATTCAGGCTTACAGAAAGGGGTTATCTAAAAGACTTTTAAGAATGAGGTAGACTGCTGAAAACTAAGGTAAGATAAATTATTACTCACTAGAGGTCCAGTGCACGAATTCGTGCACAGGTGGGGCCCCTTGATCTGGCCGGCAATCGGGGCTGATTGGGGCCGGCCGGGGGGAGGGACTGTGGGAAATTGGCCAGCTGGGGGAGGTTGCCTATGGGAGGTTGGCTGTGGGAGCGCACTGACCACCCGGGGGCAGCTCCTGCATTGAGTGTTTGCCCCTTGGTGGTCAGTGCGCATCATAGCGACCAGTCGACCGGCTTTTATATATATAGATGCTTGAATACCAATAACTTGTTGAAAACTGTCACAGGACTAAATAGTTAACACAGGGCTCTGAGATTAAAAGGCCTGGAAAGTTACAATGATTATCTGTGAACTGGTAGCCAGATGGAGGGAAATTATGAGTGAAATACTTCAGTGGAAAATTCTGGAAGAGTTTTTTATTAGCCTTGAAGGGTATAATATGGGGAATGACAGATAAATAACAATTAGAATAGCTCTGAACGGCATCTCATTTTCTGAAAAATGCCAAAAATTATCGATACTTTGACGGTACAATTCTTAATCTTCATTACTGGCGTAACCAAAAACTATTCTGTGACATATGCAAATTCCATTCAATTATTTTATTCAGAAAAGAAAACCAAAAGTGTAATTGAAAGCTGTAATTTAAAAAACATGGCAGACTTCCAATTTTTGGTCTGACGTTCAATAAGCTTAGAAGATATCACTCCTACCTTCACAACAGGAGATAAGCAAGCTGAAAAATCGACCCCTCTTCTTAGAATCATCAGAACTGAAATCACGGAAAACTTTTTTGCCCGCAATGGTGGAGACGGACAGGTGTTCCTGAAACCACAGCCCACCAGAGCTGAAGCCTTTGAGCAGAAACTGCCGGAATGAGTGCGGGGGAAGGGAATTTTAGAGACAGGACAGGCAGCATCAGGGAAGGGGCTCTTGGGGGAGGAGACGGACATGCACAGAGGCTAGAGGAATGTTACAAGAGAAGGGGAGCAGGAAGGGGGGCGCCAGTGGGCTTTGAACTTTGAAAGGGATGTCCTGCAGGAGGGACCAATTAGGAGAGCACGGGGGACATAACTTAAGGAAGGATCCAATTAGGAAGGGACCTGAAGAGACAAAGAGCTCCCAGCATTTATAAACCCGGAGACTACGAGACTCAGAGAAACTGAATAAGAGAGAGAGAGAGAGAGAGAGAGAGAGAGAGAGAGAGAGAGAGAGAGAGAGATTTTCCCCATTAGGGGCCCCTCCAAGGGGATCCCTTTTAAGGACCCCACCCTTGGGGAGAGTTTGTATATGCTTCCGAAAATCTTCCACATCTTTATTTAAAATCTTTTAGTCCGCCAATTTTATTCTTCAAACTTCGTTGGACAAGACCCCACAAGAAGAGACTGCTCGCCCGAACCCCAGGTAACACTGAGCTGGGAAACGTATGTGTCATTGATGAAATGCTCAGTGTAGACAAGGCTGGGCGTTAAAACTCCAGTGTTGGGGGAATCGTACACTTCTGTGAATTTTATCTCTAGGACACCCGGTTCTTACAGCGAAGACTAGAGAACAAGTCCCTGTGGAGGAGAGGGGAGGAGAGGAGAAGCAGCCATTCTGAAATATGCCCAGAGCCTCTGTTCTCCCTAACTGCCCACCAGAGGAGGAACTATTTTATCAGAGTCTAACTAACTGGTTTTCTCCGGTCCTAACCGGCCTGGGGAGGGAGATACCCATCTCCGGCTCCCTCCAGCCTTCCTGTCTCACTGCAGGGAGGGGAAGGCGGACACTTGAGAAAGTCATGGCCAGGGGCAAGGCTGACTAAAAACCTGAGCCCTAATCACAGGATGACACTGCTTCCCAGGCTCCCATGGCTGCCACCACATCAAAGGGCCTCCTATGTAATGGCAGGGGAATGCACTAAAATAACGGTGCATCTTACACCATATTCTAGAAGAATCCCCAAGGGAAGCCCTACGGCACCAAGGAGACAAAAGCCAAGAGACTAGAGGCAATGCTGGCCTCTGCCGCCTACAGCAACAGCAGACAGCACACACAGCCTAACTCCCAGCCAAATAAACATGAAATCTCACACTAAATGTCCACTTCCTTCAGTTCCTTTTGTGGATGAAAGGGGCCATATGCTAACCTGACTAGTTCAGGGAAGGCCTACATGGCGGGTGTGCCAACTCAAAGACCTAAAATAACCACAAAAGATGGTCTGAAAATTAAATACTCAACTACAAACAGGTTATGGTGGGTAGTCATGCCCTAGGCCAGTATTTTCCCTGACAAAGATCAACTTAGATCTTCACTGAGCTCGTCTGTCTTTTTGCCTCTAAGATAACATATCTGCGAGATGTCTGGGTAACTTGTAACTTCCTTTTTTTTTTTTCCGGACCCCTCCAGGCACAACAAATGGCACCAGGACATTCCCTCCTTGTTACTGTTATCAAGTTAATTGTCAACTGTTAATTATGTAAAACTATCCTGTATCCATCTATGCAAAAGAAGCATATGTCCATCATCCCATTTTTATCCTATCCCAGAGGTTAGGCCACCCCCTCTGCTTTCTCCCACCTCCTTAATCTATCACCAATGAATTTCATGTAACCCACTTAACTATTTTCCTTTTAAATTTATAAAAACAAGGTATGAACTCCTCATTCTCCGGAGCATTATCTCAATTCGTTGAGGTTCTGCTTCCTGGCATATATCGACAGTTTGGCTCAAATAAACTCACAAAATTCTTTACAGGTCTGAATGCTTTTTACGTTAACACTTCGACCCAGTACATCATGTTTAACATTCAATGAAAAATTACAAGATGCACTAAAAGACTTAAACAGTTTAAAGAGACTAAGCCAGTACAGAACCAAATTTGGATATGGCAGAGGTGTTGGAATTATCAGATTAATTAGCTCCAAATAATTAGCATTAAAATTCTAAAGAGTCTAGTGGAAAAAGTGGACTACATATAAGAACGTAAGGGTAATGCAAGCAGAGAAATTAAATATGTAAGACAGAATCAAAAGGAAATGCTAGAAATAAAAAGCATGACAACAGAAATGAAGAGTGCCTTGATGGGCTCATCAATAGACAGGACACATCCAAGGAAAGAATTAGTGAACTTGAAGAACTGTCAATAGAAACTTCTCAAAATGAAATGCAAAGAGAAACAAAGAATGAAAAAGACCAGATTATCCAAGAATTGTGGGACAATTACAAAAGGTGTAACATATATGTAATGGGAATTACAGAAAGAGAAGAGACCAAGGAGAAGAAATATTTGAAGCAACAATGATCAAGAATTTTCCAAAATAAATAATAGACTCCAAATCACAGATCCAGGAAACTCAGAGAACACCAAGCAGGAAAACACCAAGAAGTCTACACCCAGCTATAGCATATCAAAGTGTAGAAAATCAGAGACAAATAGAAATTGAGAAATATTGCAGTTGACCTGCCTTACGAGAAATATTAAAAGAAGTTCTTCAGAAACTTCTTCCCAACTTTATCTCTAGATAACAATCCCAATCAAAATCCCAGCATGTTGTTTTGTTGATATTGGCACACTGGTTTTAAAGTTTATATCGAGAGGGAAAAAAAACACACAAAAAACCCCCAACAACCCAGAATAGCCAACACAATACTGACGGAGAAGAATGAAGTCAGAAGACTGACACTACCTGACTTCAAGACTTTCTATAAAGCTACAAAAATCAAAACAGCATAGTACTTGCAAAAGAATAAAGAAATAAATCAGTAGAACAGAATAGTGATCCCCAAAATAGACTCACAATATAGTCAACTGATCTATGACAAAGGAGCAAAAGCAATTCAACTGATCTACGACAAAGGAGCAAAAGCAATTCAATGTTTCTGGAACAACTAGCTATCCACATGCAAACAAAACAAAACAAAACGAATCTTACACAAAAACTAACTTAAAAGGGAGCATCGGTCTGAATGTAAAACACAAAATTAGAAAACGCTGAGAAGAAGAATAGAGAAAATATTGGCGACCTTGGGTTTGGCAATGGTTTTTAGAGATAATATCAAAAGCGTAATCCACGAAAGAAGAAAATTGATAAGCTGGACTTCATTAAAATTAAAAACTTCTGCTTGGTGGAAGGTCCTTGCTAAGAGAATCAAAAGACAGGCCACACACTGGGAGAAAAGAATTGCAAAAGGCATGTCTGATAAATGACTGGTATCCCAAATAAAAAGGAACTCTTAAAATTCAACAATAAGAAAATGAACACTCTATGAAAAAATAAGCAAAACACCTCTACAGATACCTCATCAAAGAAGATATATAAATGGAAAATAAGCATATGAAAAAAGTTCAATATTACATGTTATCAGAGAATAATTGAAATTAAAACAATGAGATATCACTATACACCTCTAATACTCTAAAATCCAAAAGTGACAACACTAAATGGGTGAAGATGTGATACAAAAAGTTATCAGTAACTACTATAAAAATATCACATGACCTGATGCATTGATATTGAAAAATGAAAGAAAGAAAAACTAAAACCTTAATATACTTTGGGAAGTCAGAAATGCTCCAATGGCATTAATGGCATTACTAAACTCCATAGAGTCAAGCAATACATAACTGTCTATTATTTCAAGACATAGGTGACACATTCGGCTTCTTGATCATTGTTACTAGTATCCCATGAGCCATTCCCATCATTCAAAGTCAAGGGAAGAACCTTTATACTGACAATGGAGCAGGTTTAGTCTAGTAGCGTAGGTCCCTGCCTGCTGCACGCCAGCTTCAATAGGTTGACAAATGTGGGAGAATGACTGGGATTACTATTCCGAAGCCTCTTCACTCAGCTGGGCTAAAGTAATTGCAGTGGATAGAAAAATTCTGAAACATGAGATCATATTATCAAAATGTTAGACATGGTTGAGTTATGAACTACTGGAAAATTAAGCAATCAGAAATGGTGGCCCTGGCCCATGTGGCTCAGTTGGTTGCTGGTTTGATTCCCCATCAGGACAAGATCCGGAGTTGGGGAAGTGGAGGAAGCAGCCAATTATGTTTTACTCTTCACACTGATGTCTCTCTCTCTCTCCTTATTCCTTCCTCTCTCTCAAAAAACCAATGAAAATATTTTTTTAAAAAAGAAATGGCATGGTCAAGGGTATCATTCCCAAGCCTAATACATATTAGTCTTCCCAATCATAAGCATGGTGATTGTCAATATAATTGCTATAAACATGAAGACTAATAATAGTAAATTTTCGCACAAGGAATTATTAATATAAACTTTAATTTAGGTAGGTAAGTTTTGTTGTTGTTGTTTTGTTTTTTATAAATTTAAAATATATTCTATTGATTTTTAGAGAGGAAGGGAGAGGGATAGAGAGACAGAAACACCAATGATGAGAGAGAATCATTGATCGGCTGCCTCCCGCACGGCCCCCACTGGGGATCGAGCCCGCAACCCAGGCATGTGCCCCTGGCCAGAATCGAACCCGGGGCCCCTCAGCCCGCAGGCAGATGCTTCAGCCACTGAGCCAAACCGGCCAGGGCTAGGTTTATGTTTTTAATGAGAAACTTACCTTGCAGAACTTGACTTCTGCCTCTAAATGATGAATGTATTGGGACTGATCATAGATGATAGGGACAAGATTCTGAGCAGTAGGCATATTGGTTTCCTCATATTCTGATGACCTCTAAAGAAAAAACAACAAATTAAGCATGTTTGGGTTTATCAAAGAATCAATGAATACCATCTCCATGTCAATTTAGCACTGACATCATGTAAACACAGACTGAATCACATGCAGCTACTAAGTATTTATTTCTCTATCCTAAAAATTCCACAAATGGGTAAGATTCAGGGATATGAACATTTTTTAAAGATGGAAAGTGACAGTGGTTATAAAAAGCACATGGCAAGTGGAAAAATGCCAAGCAGTATAGTGAGCCTGGGATGGACTGTCTGTTTGAGCCAGCTATCTATCTATCTATCTATCTATCTATCTATCTATCTGTTTATATAAAAGCCTAATATGCAAATTATCCCTCAGGAGTTGGACCAGGAGACCTGGAGTTCAATCGCTCACTATGATATACACTGATCACCAGGGGGCAGTGCGGAATGAAGGAAGGCCCAGGCCAACAGCTGGCAGCTGGGGAAGGAAGGCCCTGATCGGCCCTGATCACCAGCCAGGCCTAGAGACCTTACCTGTGCATGAATTTCATGCACCGGGCCTCTAGTTTTGAAAGAAAGGGCAAGTCCCTTCAAGAAACCTCCATTGAATAGCAGTGGCAGCTAAGGCTGCAGTACCACTCCCTGAAGGAGGGACTGTTTAGACAGGTGTTTGATGCCAAGTGTGTGTCATGAGTAAAATTCAGTCTTTACTACTAATTCAGCCATTTAAACCTGGCAAATCCTTCCCTCACACCTCCCTTCACACCTATCTTAGCCTTTAGTCTATCACACTGCTTCAATCAGGAGTAATACGCTCTGTCAAAGCAATGGCAATAAAATCCAACTTCAGAAGATATAGGGTCTAACTTGTAGTATCACACAATTTTATAACCATGTGTTTTTAAATGTAGGATAAGATTACAAACTTTGGTTTTGACATTCACAATAAAAGCGTATTACAAAGGACAGCCGGAATTATAATTAAGTAAATTCTAAAAACAATCAAATACAAATATAACCCTCTAAAAAAGAAATGGCTAATCTTTTTCACATATTGTCCCTTTTTTATATTTGCTAATAGTTGCAACGTAAATTCTCTAAACTATCTCCTCACTCATGTTTCTCAAGTGAAGAATAAAATAAAAAGCCAGGATTCCCTCCGCCATAGAAGTCTCTCTTCTGCAGCTAAAATCATCAGGGGGAAGATAATTTCTTCTTATGCTGTATTTACACTATCAGAACGCCCTGCTCAGAATTGGCCTACCACATTTCCTACTAAAACGACACTGCACAGTTAAAACACAGTTAGAAAAATAATGCTTTCGTTGGGTTGCAAATGTTGACACTTACCAAAGGGGACATTTTTCTTCTTCTTGATGGAGACACCTCATTTTCCTTAGTTGCTTGTTGGTACAACAAGGCTTTGAGTTGAATAACTACAAGGCAGAAGCAATGTGTTTATTAACCTTATTGGCGATCCATGGTTTATCGTCACCCAGCCATTCTCCCATCCATCTAACAAATATTGTTTAAACACACATTATGCATCAAGAATAGGGGATGCAAAGCAAAGGTGAGGAAACCTCGCCCACTTAGGAGGTAAGACTCCACTGGGCAAGAATGATACACTAATAGATATAAAACAATATAAGTTTGTATGTAGACATAGAGCCATAGATAGGTTACAAAAAGAGGAAGCACCTAATTGTACCTGTTTTCACAGAGAAGATAACACTGTACAGGACGAACAGGAGATCGCTAAGCAGAAAAGGGGGACGCAAATTCCAGTAGAAGGCATGGTCAGTAGGTTGGTCTGACTGGAGCATGCCTTGCAAGATGGATGTTGGAAGGAGGCTAGAAAAACGAGGCTGGAAGGTCGCTTGGAGCCATCTACGGAAACGTTGTTATGATACACTAAGAATTTTGGACTCTGGCCTATATAGGCATTGGGAAGTCAAAGGGAAAAAAATTAAGCATTGCATTAGCTGATTTGTGTTCCAGGGATAAAATCCTAGCAGTGGAGGGGAGAGGGGCTGGAGTTGTTACCATACGGGTTAAAGAATTCCCTGTGGGTCACCCGGGTGAGGGCTGCGTCCAACTCACCGGCATGGCTGTGCTGGAGCTCGTGCCAGGCCGTCCCACTGTCCTCACTTCCTTCTTCAGCGCTAAGAAGCTCTAGTGCACCACCTCTAACAGCGGCATTGTATTTGCTCAGCTGGTGAAAGCTTCTCCTCACACGTTCTGCAATAACAAGGCGAGAGTGAGGCTGCAGAAGTCTGGGCGGTTTCTAAGGGAGAAGCAAGCCTTCTGAAAGTTCTGTTTCTGGCTTGCTGAGGAATGCTGGAGGCAGCGAGGGAAGGTTAAGTTCAGGGTTGAAGATTAGACTTGGTCTCTAAGGTCACGGACATCTCAGTGGTTGATCCTCACTACATACAGTACTACCAGCAGGAGGACTGAATGGGGGAGCTCCTCTCTAACCCACTAACCAAGGAGACAAAGAGACAAAGACTCCCTAATCCTCCTGGGGACACTGGGCTGGGTGGCAGAACCCACAAGAGGGACTCCACCACACCCAGCACCTGCCCAGGGAAGCCTCCTTGTCCCTGTGGGCCTGACGTCCCTCCCCCAGCAAGAGACAGCCAACTGCCTGGCCGAGTTTTCAATCAGGATTTGAATAATTAGATGCTTTTAGTGGCAGCCCCTGTAGACCAGCCCTTCATATGTACTGCTGGCTGAGGACATCTCGTGTAGCAATTCCTGGTTAGTGCAACTGACCGACACTAGAATTGAAGCTTACACTCACCAGCACATACTTCACATACAGTTTAAAACAAAGTATTTTAAGGCATATTTTTAAGAGATGACTTATAAGACATTTTAAGAGATGACTATAGTAGTGCATCTCTAAAAATGGTCCCCAGGCCCCATCCTCACACCCTTCTCCTCTCCCGTGTTGTTGAAACTGAGCAGGTCTGTAAGGCATCAACCAATACAATGCGGTACAAGTTACCCCCAGGCCACAGCAGGCCTGGGCTTTAAGTGCTGGTAGGTTCTGCTTCCTCCCTCTTGGATGGTTGCTTTGTGAGCCCTGAGCCACAAGTAGGAAGTCTGGCTACCCCGCTGGTGACACTGTGAAGAGGCCTCGTGGGAAGGAGAGGCCCCGAGACCACATGAGAAAGAGAGAAGCCCAGTCCTGCTAACAGCCCCGTGGACCCTCCCGGGTTGTTGCTTTCAGCCGCCAAGGTCTGGGGTGGTTTGTTATATAGCAATAGATAACCGGAATAATTATCAGGGAAACACTAGCCACAAAACACTTTCAGCAAAGGATCCAAGTCTGACATTCATAGCAGAACTATGCTAATGACAGCAGTGATATATGACTAATAGTTCCACTTTACTCTAGTGGGTATTTTTACATGAATATCAACTGGAGCACCAAGCAACCGATTGGTAATTTCATTGATTTCAGGTTTAAAAAATTTCTTCTAATCTCGTCGAAGCCGGTTTGGCTCAGTGGATAGAGCGTCGGCCTGCGGACTGAAGGGTCCTGGGTTCGATTCCAGTCAAGGGCATGTATCTGGGTTGCGGGCACATCCCCAGTAGGAGATGTGCAGGAGGCGGCTGATCGATGTTTCTCTCTCATCGATGTTTCTGACTATCTCTCTCCCTTCCTCTCTGTAAAAAATCAATAAAATATATTTTAAAAAATAAATAACTAAATTCCTTCTAATCTCATGATTAAAGTCACTGGTTTCAACCCAGAAAACTGTAGCTATAACATAAAATATTCTTCGTACATTAGAGATGGAGACCGGATTTCAGTCACCATTTTCAAATCTTGACATCTGTATTTGAAAATTATTTTTCAACTCATTAATTTTCTATATATATACTAGTATACATAATTATGTTTAAAAAAAAACCCCATGAATTCCCACTCAGGTTCATGCACACCTATTATCTATTTCAAATGTATTCCATTTAAACAATTCTTAAGTTCCTCAGAGGAGACGGCACTTTCCCTCAGTAAGAGCAACTCACAACAATGACGGCAATGAGGTTGCCATCTTTTGATCCAGGCCCTTCTTTGACAACGTAGACCTATTTCTCCTTGTGTCCTCATGAGAAAAAGCTCCTCTTCCTTGCTTCCTACATGGGAACCCTAAGAAGGCCACAAAACAGCTACATTTTCATTACCAATTATCGCTGGAAAAATATTTATAAACATATATTCTCCAGGACCTTGGGAAACAGATTCCATTTCTCCAAGCTCATTCATTTCAAATTATAGAAAAGAAAAAATAACCATAACTTACTAGAAGAAAATACATCCTAAAATACACCCTATATCACAAAATATCTAGTATAGGTTCTTCCCTTACAGAAACTCATTTTCTACCTAGATTAAACTAAAGAGGACAGGTCTTTAGGTCAAGGTTCAACACTAATCTGATAAAATGCTATTGCTCATCTACACAACAGACCTGGTGAATCTATCACTACATTTCTCTCCACACCAACCCTGTTGCCACACAGACCTTTCTCTAAGCAGTGGTTCTCAGCCTTGGCTGCACATTAGAATCACCTGGGAATCTTTTTAAAATCCTGATTTCTGGGCCTCATCCTCCCGAAATTCTGTTTCTTTGTTACTAATGTTGTGGCTCCACCCCATCACAAAGAAACAGAATTTCCGGAGGATGAGGCCCAGAGATCAGGATTTTGGAAAGATTCCCAGGTGATTCTAACGTGCAGCCAAGGCTGAGAACCGCTGGTCTAATGGGAATTGGGTGCTGATGACTCAGCCAGCCTGGCCTCCGGTTACTCACGGGGAGTTTGAGGCGACCAGAGGAGATGCCTTCCTGACCTGAGCAAAATGAGAAGCAGCAATGGTTTTCCAATAACTGCACATGCTCTAAAGACGCTTGTTAATGGAAAAGGGGAATCAAAGTGTCACATGATAAGCACCGTAGTGCACAGAGCTTTAGATTTATGCACTTGGATCTATGAATGAAGCACTTATCTCCACCGCCTCCATTAGAAAGGAAACAGAGGGTCTGACGAACATTAAATGTGTGCTCCGGGAGGTATCGAATGACTTCACCTCCAAGACAAAGGGTAATTACTTATTTATACCTAATCTGACTAAAAGCTAATGCGCTAAATTAGGAAAAATAAAGGAAATCTGAAAAAAATTGCATAGTTGAAGGTCCCTAGAGGCAGTTCTTCATCAGATTACGACGATGGCAGAGTTTGATAAGCCCACTGATCCCCTCTCTAACGTCTGCAATGTCTTGTTTAATCTTTTAGAATTTCCAACCTTCAAAGACAACGTGTCAAATTGCACCATGAAAACAGTATTATGTGAAGTATTGATAATTGCTAAGGGTACGTGATATTTTTACGTTATTTCAATACTCTATTTCAAAACATGTGTTATACACTTGGACAAACAGAGGAATAATAATGCTCCAAAGATTCTAGACCAGTGGTTCTCAACCTTCCTAATGCCGCGACCCTTTAATACAGTTCCTCATGTTGTGGGGACCCCCCAACCATAAAATTATTTTCGTTGCTACTTCATAACTGTAATGTTGCTACTGTTACGAATCGTCATATAAATATCTGATATGCAGGATGTATTTTCATTGTTACAAATTGAACATAAGGAAAGCATACTGACTAATCACAAAAACAATATGTAATTATAGATGTGTTTTCCGACGGTCTTAGGCGACCCCTGTGAAAGGGTCGTTCGACCCCCAAACGGGTGGCGACCCACAGGTTGAGAACCGCTGGTCTAGACAGAGGAAACCCCATTGCTCTTCAACTGGAGCCATTGCAACTGGCCCCATAAATCCTACTCGGGACACTGCCCCCCAGATGCGGTACCTGCTGCGCACACACAAGGGAACCAGATTACACAGGACCTGCCAGCTATCCGCTATCCCACTGCTAATGGGCACGGAGTCATCTGCCTCTAACCCAGAGAGCAGAAAGGACACTCATTTCCGCTTCTCTCCTGCGAGGGCAGAAAGGGTATTTCACGGAGCATCCTGACTTCTCCTCCCCGGGACCAAACCCGGGCTGAATGTCAACTCAGTTATGACTACAAACACCAACAGGACCTCTGGGTGCTACAAAAATCATATGCACACAGGTGTCAGTAATACTTCTGCTTGTCCACTATCCAAACATCAGGCAGTGCGATGAGCCCCCAACAGGTTAGCCAGCTGCTGATTGCTGACAACTGAAGTCTGTCTTGTTCAATTTTTATTTTTATTTTATCCAGTTTCTCTACTTCTAACTCCTGGCTCACCATTGGGTGTCTCATCACCAAGATGTTTTGGAACAAAAGGCAAGTACGTCCCAGTCTAGCCAGGATCACCCCTTATCCACATACCATGAATTATTAATCTCTACATTGTCCATCTGTACCGGGGGAGGTGCAGGGGGATTAGCCTGGTGACAGGGGCAGGGAGCCACACCCTGTGAAGCTGTCCAGCTGTCCCTGAGAAAACATGCAATCAACCAAGACCGCCCCGGGCGGCGACAAGAGACGCATCAGGGTTCTCAGAACCAGCTCGGACTCAGGCAGGCAAGCAGGAAACTGAGACCGCGGCGAGATAAGAGATACATGTGTTTGTCCACCCTGCCTGGGCCTCAGCCTGGTTCAGGAGATTGCTGTCACTGCTCACTCAGGGACTGACAACCAAGAGACAGCAGCCTCATCCAAAATCAGACAAAGCCAGCTTTGTAAATGGCCATGACCATAGTGAGAGACATCAAAAGCAGTATATAGACAGTGAAAAAAAAAAAAATCCCAAAGAAAATACTACCATAGGACTCTTAATAGCCGACAAATGTGTCAAGTGGTTGGCGCCGGGAGCGAAAGATAATCCGGGCAAGAACGCAAACATCTTAAGGAAGCAGTGTCTGGGCGCTCATGAATGATGCATGGATGCTGGCAAATCAAGGAGATTGGCTTCGATGCAGTCTGAGGGCTACACCTGGCATTCTTCTGGCACCGGCTGGGAGGACTTATGCACCTGTCACTTTCCATTGATAAAGAAGTAATCCTAGCCAGACTGGCAGAACACGGGCACCATCAGCAGCCAGTACAATCTGTATCCTTAATTGTAATGACTCTCAAGTATGGCTCGGGCGGAGCAAGGGCTGTGAGCAAAGGCTTCCTTTAGGACCGTGGTTTCTCAGCCTCAGCGCTACTGACAGTTGACCTGACG